TGTGGTCGCTTCTCAGGACACCCACGGGATGAAATGGGGTAGTGGATATTCTTACACCACCGCTACATGGTAAACGTCTGGATGACTGCAACGCTCAATTCATCCAAATAATTGTCTAATTAGTGTTTAAAAAATATCTAATTGCCTTTTATTGTATTCATGACAGTGCTTTAGTACATTTTTGATATAAGAGAAATTAGAAGAGTAATTAATATGGAAAAAGTCTTACAATAAACAGTTTTAATTTTTTAATAAACTATTGTTGAATAAAGTCAAAAGTAATAATTATGAAGAAGTTGTTAAGAGCGTATTTTCAATTATTTTGTGAAAAGTATTTTGAGTTCTCCACATTCCATGTCCATTCATGTCACTACAAAATTTTCTACAAACGACTTAAATATGAATATAATTTATTGTTGATTTTTTAAAAACCCCTCAACTGATTTCAGCAAAATTTAAATAGGACCACATGGGAAGACCCTTTGTAACAAAAAAAGAATTTTAAAATCGGTTCGGGCATCTTTGAGTAATCGGTGAACATATATAAAAAAGATTTCGACGAATTGAGAAACTCCTCTTTTTTTGAAGTCGTTTGAAAAGTAAAATTACATGCATTGCAACTGAAATGAATCACGCTTCACAGCCCACTGTACCTACTGTAAGCGTGGTAGCTCTGGGGTGTCAGTGTCCGCTCCCCTTTAAAGCCTCCTAGAGCTGTTCGGTAATCTTTTATGTTACTAAAATTCTTAGAAATGAGAGGAGACTTATGTTTAAGTGTAAAAATATTCTGCGTCTTGTGATTCTCATCTGAATTTGTTTGTCTTGAATTGTTCATCATCATTCGTTGACATTAAAAGTTAATTTTTGCATGTGGTGTTACGGCGTAAACGATATAAAATTTTGTCTCATTACGTTAGTGTCGACAATGGAAATTGATAGGAAAATCTCATGGTTTCAAATAGAAGGCGGTATTACCGTATAACCAAGTCCCATACGCCAGATAGGTATCCAGACCATACCAAAAGAGACGTTTGATCAGTTAACGGCAGCAGTAGGCCGCCTCTAGTCTTCCTGCTTGTTTACTGAAATATAATATAATTTACCAATACCTATGGTGTTGGTGACAGACCCATTGGTAAATGGATGATGTTGCCCATAGATCTGTTATCAACAAAAGATCAAAATGTAGATGCGTTTTCACCAGACCGCGGACCAAGATGGTACGTATTTCATGCTGTTTTTCTATTGCAACATATTCCCATCCCGATCGTGTCGACAGATTCATGCTGTAGTCGTAATACAGCTGTAGCGTGGATTTACTTCGTAAATAAATATAAATGAGGCAGAAGATGGGCAGCAGCGTCTTTCTGATAACAGTAAAAAGCAAAAGAAAACTGCGGTTGCCGACCCACTCGCCAAGCGTGGCAACTATGGCAATACACCCCCCATGAGCATCAACGTGGTCCATCACTGCCCGTCGTATGAGGAAGCTCAAAGTCGCTCAGCGAGCTATGGAGAGGGCAACGCTCGGGGTTCTCTGCGTGATAGACTCAAAAAGGAGGATATCAGCAATAGAACCAAAGTAACCGACATAGCCCAACGGATTAGTAAGCTGGGACGGCCATATAAGTTTCTCGAGTGGCAGCCTCGTACCGGCGGGCGAAGTGTAGGGCGACCCCCATTAGACATGCAGGAAGTCAATGGATGCAGGTGGCTCGGGACGTTTTGTGGCGTTCCTTGGGGGAGGCCTATGGTCAGCAGTGGACTTGTGAATGGACACAATGATGATGAGGAAATACAAATGTAGTATAATAGGTATAACATTCTCAAAAACATTTTAAAGAAAAAAGTAAACACAATATATAAGTAAATATGAATGTCATTTATTTTACATACTCGGTCTTTCCGATATAACAACATAAAACTAGACTAACATAGGTTTTAATATCACAAATTTCAAAATTTTTAAGAGATATGTTGTGAAGTACCTGTTATGGGTAATTTATGTATAAAATTTAACCATCATCTGTTCAAACATTTATTGTTAAAACGTTTTAAATTGTAAGAGTAATTATTTGCATATGTATGTAGTTACCCTAGTTTAAATAATACCCTTGACCATAGAGTAGTTGACATTTTTACACATCTAAATAATAATTGTTATTAATTTATTTATTTTATATGAGAGGGGCAAAAGAACATGCGGCTCACCTGATGGTAAATGACTACCGCCGCCCATGAACAACCCAACACCACGGGAATTGCAGATGCGTTGCCGGTCTTTTATAAGATGGTAAGCTCTTTTGTTAAAGGTCCCTAAGTCGTATCGGTCTGGAAAAATTGCTGGTGGTAGTCGATTTTACAAGGAAGTTGTGCGAGGAAGAAAACTTCCTGTAAATCGCACAGCGGTGGACCGATAATAATCCAGATGGTATGGATGGTATCGCAAGTTTTGTCACGATGTGCGATGGTGAAATTGAGCGGTTGGAATTGGTCCGAACAATTCCTCTAAGCACTCCCCGTGGTAGATGCGATAAAATAGGCAAAGGAAAAAGAAATCACTTTCAGAGTGATAAGACCGCCTATCGTACATTTTCTAATTTAGATTTAATTGTATTCGTTTTTGTTTTGTTTTTTGGTGTACAATAAAGAGTAAATAAATAAAGAGATGCTACATTATCTTTTTGCGTATTTTATCGCATCATAATTATAACAAAAAGCTTTGCTACTACAAAAATTACAAAATTAAGCGCAATCTCTACTTATGGAAAATAATAAATAATAGTTGAAAAACTAATCTTGCATTTTATAGTCAAATCTTATAAAAGTGTCTTCTATTGGAATACCTACAATTTGATGAACATCCAAATATGTAAAATTTCTCGGCAAAGACACCGACTTATCATCAAAATATAGATTAATTATATCAATACAAATATACCTAGATCTTTTTGTGATCAATTAGTATTTTTGTAGGTTAGATTAGATTAAAGTAATGATCATTGAATTACAATCAATTATGTACTTACGAATACCTACCTACACTGGTATTATTACTGAAATATATATAATGGAAGACAAATGGAATGTAAAAACATTACACCTATAAAGGGTAAGTTTTATAATATTAGTAGGACAGGCAACTCGCAATAAAACTATTGGTTAGTGATCACTACTGCTAATGGTCATCTTAAGCCAACTCTAAACAAAGAAAGCTACAGATACGTGGCTGGTCACCCATTAACTCAATAACTCTTTAACGAATCTCTGAGGACAGAGGTGGAATGCCTCGATATCATTTAATAGAGTCTCCAGTTCTTTTCACTCAACAAAGAAACCCAGCGGCATTGTGCTGTAATTAACTCAAGTATTTCCACGCTCGTGCCGACCCATTAGGGATGGGCAAGGAAAAAAAATATATCGATATATATCGAATCAATATTTTTACACAGTATCGGTATATATCGTGTGATAAATATCGATATATCGATATATCGTCATCATTTGCATGATGTAAAGATAAGGTCCAAAATTTTATTAAAAAAAAGATACATTTTAAAATATATCGAAATTGATCCGAATTCGATACTGTGAAATAAATATACATATCTATAGATCGCGATTTAAAATATCGACGATATATATCGATATTTTTATTTTTTGCCCAAGCCTACGACCCATTCGTGGTGCAGCCGTGACACGTTACAATTTGATACCAATGACATTTTAAGTTTTTAATCGATTTATAATAAGCTTTATTACAATAAATTAATATAAGAGATAGTTAGTATTGCTTTATTTTCAGTTAGTATAACATTTATTGTTAATCAAACAAAGGACACCTTAATATTTTTGTCATTAAAATTATTGTCACAAAAGATTATGAAGATTATCTTGAGAAAATTTATTTATACGTAAAATCCCCGGTTAACAATATACAGAGCAGGTATAAAATAATTAATTATAGAAAACCAATTATGGGTTTTTATTAATAGAATTACGCTATAAAATACTTATTGGATATGTTACGTTTGCGAATCTACTTCAGTATATTATTAGATAATAACAACAATAGTAATAAGCAAAACTTAAATCATGCTTAAATTTTGAAAGCATCTTTTTATTTCAACCTTCTTATATTTCTGGAATATAAGACTAGTTGTTACGTAGTTACATAAGGGGCTAGGTAGAGTAGAGCAGGGAGCTACTAGCGAAATATATTGGGCGTGGATTTAAGATTGTGAAAGAAGAGAAAGGTATACTTACATATACCCTACACAATTATGAGGCCAATATTCCATTAGCCGACAGTTCTACGACATACTAGGCAAGTAATACAGTTGGTACATTATTTTCTACCGACTTCAAAAAGGAGGAGGTATTCAATTCGCATTTATGTTTTTTTATGTGTGTTACCTCATAACTTTTTTCTACGAGAACCGATTTCGATGATTCTTTTTTTTATTTGAAAGGTGGTGCCAGTAGTTTTTGAGTTATCCTTAATAATTTATATTGCAGCCCGTTGTACTAAATTTTTAATTGTTATAATAAGTTAATACCGCGGTGTTCAACATTTCTGATACATCTAATATGGGAAACAAAATTTGCCCACTTTAAGTAGTACTTCAGAGTATAATACACTTATAACCCAAATAGTAAACGACTGTAATAAAATGATGAATGAGTACTTTAATGAATTACAAAAATGTATATTTTTCCATACAAACTTTTAAGCCGTACACGTCTATTAATACAAATAATGGTCAACATTTAATTGTAAGTGATAACAAAGTGGTAAATAGGTATTAATGGTACGTAGGTATTTTTAATTAATTATATCTTTTATTACAATCGGCAAGATAATCTTCATATCACATAGGAATAATACCGTAAATATTTTTCTGTACTATAGATAGCTCGAATAATTCAATATCAATATTGTTAAATAAAACTATAACTCATTTATCGCCTAAATATTACAACAGTCATTTAAAAAAAAATCATTGACAATGCTCGGTGACGTCAACCACGGTGCTCTTTCTCCAGCCGAAGAAAAAGTAACCAACAGCTAATCCAAGGATAAGTGCTATGCACAGCCAAACGTTGTAAGTCATGAACACCAACATCAGGATGTAGGAGGCGGTTGATTGAACAATGTGGAGTAAGGTCTGGATTATGTGACCGCTTGAGAGCATCGAATATCTGAAAAAAAAACCACATGCGTTATTACACAAGTTATTAATTATATTCGCGTTATAAAGTCTCTCATTGGAAAATATAAAGGTTGCATTTTTTTAATTACCACCCTTGATAGGCGTTAGCAAAAACATTTAAGTTAGTATATATATTTAAATCTCTTTGGGCGTTAGTTACCAAAATTTGACAAGCCTGTGTATTTGTGCTCCTATTCCCTCTACTGTGAGAGAGAACACGGAGTAACTATACAAAACAGATCAATATTATTAAGAACAAAATTAAAATATTGACGATATTTTTTTATCAAAAATTGGTAAATAAAATATTTTTTTTTTTATAGGATGAGGGTGACAAACGAGCACACAGTCCACCTGATGGTAAGTGGTTGCTGCGGCCCATAGACATCTACATCTATCCTCTGTTACAAATCAAAATGTAGATGCGTTGTCACCCGTGAGGACTAAGATGGAATGCCTCATTTCCAGTAAAAAGGGCCTCCGGCCACCTGCACTCACCAAGCGAAACGCAGAGGTAAACCTCTACTTCACGCTGGTTTTCTGTGAGGTCGTGGTACTACCCCGGTTCGAGCCGGCCCATCCGTGCGACAGCAAAAGCTGCCGCGTGGCTCTACCACTGATGTAAAGACAAATATTTGCTAGACAAATATTATTGTTGTAAAGACAAATATTTGCTAGACAAATATTATTGTTGTATAGACAAATATTTGCATTAGTTATACGATAAGAAAAAGACTGTTGCAAATAATTCTTTATCTTTATACAGGGTTGTTTTTCAAAGAGTAACTAAATATTAAACTTAAGGTCAAATACATAAATTATGATATACCGTTATTGCAGTTTTTGAAAATGCAAGTAAATAAGGCTTCTACTTTTATTTGAAACTAAACCAAATTGAATGTGATTTATGGGCAACAAAGTTTTTGCTTACTATTTCATTACCACGCATTTTGAATTTAAAAGATAAAAAGGACATTGACAATTTTTTAATGAATTTTTCTTCATCATTTTTTTACTTATTGTAAAGCTTTATTGCAAAGGAAATAATAGTTTTTGGGCCCACTAGAAATTTTAACGTAACTTACTTTTATTACACAAAAAAAAAAGATAGAAATTTATATAATCATGAAATCTGAAAAAAAAAGCGTTGTTTTGATATTCGTGTTCTGACTGTATATGAAAAAAAATCTTTACACAATAGTTTTTGTCGAGACGATGGTTTATAACTATGCTACGATCCGACAGGTGGCTCTGTAGTCAAGTAATTAACAATTTCTATATTTATGAACCCAAACAACTCGTATTTACAATATCAGACTTGATAAGTGGCGCTGTGGTCGAGATAAAAGGAGAATGGGATTTTTGGGCCTGAAGTTAAGGTTTATACTTTAAAAAATTGGCCATATATTTATAAAGTAAAATACAAAAAAGTAGCTCTTTTTACAATCTAGAATTCGAAAAAACAATAAAATAAGAAATAGGTTAGAAAATCGATTGTAGTGTGTATTCTTTATGGCAATAAAGCGATTACCGTTAAGAATACACTAGTGAAATCCTCATTTCTGAACGTTATCTACCAAGAGAGTACTTCTTATTTTAAAACTTAACACGACAGTTCAAACTTCAAACTATTTACTTAAAAGGAAAAGAAAAAAATTCGATTCGATTTGAAACGAGCGCAATATAATCAATTCTCGATTAAATTGAGCATTTTAATATCTATTTTCGATTATTTTTCTGTGAGGAGAATATTTTAAATAATTTTAAATAATTCCGTACATATCTACAAAATAATAATAAAAAAATACAAAATATCAACATTCCAACAATCCCTAATATTCACTTCACTTAGTTGTAGTTGTTTTAACTTTCGTTAATGGTTTTATCACTTCGTTTCATTATTAACCACAGCTTTTTTGGTGATTTTATACTGATCCTGCTTTTATATCTGTTCTATAAGTAACTATAGTGAAAAATAGCCTGTTACAGTGTAATAACAGTAAAAAATCACCTGTTACAGTGTAGGTAATAGATAATCTCACTTTTACTTATTCTACAATAACTCAGCTCCTAGATTGACAAATCTTGCCAGATTTTCAGCTATGAATTGTTTATATATACGCTTTCAAATGGTCCTACTTTCATCTTGTTAACACTTGGGCCTAAGAATGTATGGAAACGTCTCCTTCTCCTTTCAAATCATTGTTAATAATTTGTAATGAAACTCCTCGCGCCACCTACCGGAAAGGTCAGAACTATCTCTGCGCTGACAAAACAAAAGCCGTGCTAACTGATGGGATAAGCATTCGTCTTAAATTTCATCATGCGAGCAAGTAGAGAATAAATATTACAATGAAATGAACATCGAGAACATATTATTTTATTTGAATTAAATTATTTTTAGTTTAAGTTAATTAATTTACATTGAAATTTTATTCAGAATATTTTATTGTTCAATGTATACTAATTCAATTTTAAATTGTAATTTATTGTAATCTAACATGACGACAACATTTATTTAATAGCGTTTGAATTTATTCCCAACTAAATAATTTTTATAATAGTTTAAATTTAGCTAGTAAGTACCTATACAAGTATTAAATTAAATTTTTGCATGTCTTTTTCCTTGAGGGAGGCCTATGTTTAACAGAGAACTTGTGAAGGTATGTAATGATGATGATGTCAAGAACGGCAGAGTGAGTTAGTTTGACTTTATTATCATCCTACATTATTTTTTGCAAAAAAAAAATATAAATAGTGTATTTTATTTTGCAAAAAAAAATTTCTGTTGGCCACCGGTGTAGAGACCCGGATATTTAATTAATAGGAAACGAGGAATTATATCTCAGTGAGAGAGAGATAGCTGTAAGTGTCTATGGACCTCGGCATCCACTTAACATCAAGTGGAATGTATTTTTTATAAAACTGAAGTGGCAAACGAACTTACAGTTTATCTGATGGTTGGCCCCCGCAGTTCATGGACGCCTGTAGCCAATTTCATACAAAGAACGCTACAGATGATGTCACCTCTGAGGACTTAGATGGAAAGCCTCACGGTCTGTAATTGTTCTGGCTCCCTATACCCTTCAAACCGGAATACAGAAATGCGAGCACTGCTATTTGGCGGCAAAATTGGTGAGAGAGTGATAACGACCCAAACGGACTTATAGACAGGTAAGGAGTGCTATCACTTAATGCTCGTTTGTCACCCTTATTCTATAAAAACAAATTAAGTTTCGAATTACTACGTGCTCATACCATTTACCGTCAGTTGGACTATGTAATCGTAAACCTACAGAAGAAAAAAACACATAAATGAGTGTCGTGGAACACTGGGTTGGAACGAAGTTCCTTTAGAAGTATATTGTTATTGATAAACATATAATATTATTGATTAACAAATACAAATAAATGAATTACTGGCTTCTATTAAAATGAAGCGTCATTTACAATAAAATAATATTTCTTTCTTCGAGATTTATAAGAAAAAGTGCGAGGGAGATGGATATTATTCCATCTCGCTTCTATATAGACGCCATTGCCATTTACACTTCGTCAGAAGGGGTCGTAACAGAACAATCTTACAATTTTTCTCGCCTAGCCCTCATCCGCCAAATTCGTACCGTCCTATTAGTAACTTCGTTCCAATATCATTTTAATGTGCACCAAATTCCAAACTTACTTCACTATAGCAGTACCACCGCAGGCGCCTTGGTTGCCGCATTCGTTCTTGGTGATATTGACTTGCGAGTCACCAGTTGCAGTTGTTGCTCTTGTGTGCAGTGCCTCTCTGTAGTACTTAAGACCTTCATACAGGACTGCGGCGAGGAATATCGCCACCGCGGAGCCGAATAGTTCCAACGCTGTGGTGGTCATCCATCCATTGAAGAGGATCTCTTGGCACACGCCCGCGTGGAACTGGAAACGAGATAAATATCTGTTTATAAAGTTGATACTGTGTGGTGGAAAATATAATGCTGCACACCTATTTTATTGTTTTAGTAGATTTTAGCATTTGTACTTAGTTGTACGAGGGTGACACTGAAAGTTTTTGGAGGTGGCCACTTGTATACGATATAATAAAAAAACGAACAATTTTTTTATGACTTTCGATGTCATTTAAGTCAACAAGAAAGTTATGATAGACTTCGATTGGCCTTTCACGATGAAGCCCCATCTGGTGCCAATGTTTACAACTGGTTTAATGAGCTTAAACTTGGTCGCACTAATCTCACCGATGACCCGCGTGACGGAGGCCTTCTACGGCGACGACTGAAGATAACATCAGTGTTGTGCGGCGTATGATAGAGACTGACAAAAGAGTGATTCGGTACCAGCTTAGGCATCAGTATGAGTCAAGTGCACAATATCCTCCATGAATATTTAGCGGGCAGGAAGCTTTATGCCCAGTGGATACCAATTTGACAGAGGCCCAAAAACTCCGTCGTGTTGATTGGTGTCGTGAAATGGTTCAAAGACTTAACGGAGGTAACCCAAATGCTGTGTTCGACATAGTTAGGGTGACGAAAGCTGGATTTATTGTTATCATCCTCAAACTAAGAGACAGTCAGCTGTCTGGGTGTTTCCTTCCGAGGAGTTGCCAACTAAAGTGAAGAGAGGTCAAGGCGTGGGAAAAATGATGGTAGCCTCGTTCTTCGGAAGGACAGGTCATTACGTAACAATTGTTTTAGAGGACCGAAAAACAGTTACTGCATAGTGGTTTAGTGGTACACTAACAATTGTTTGCCTCTTGTCTTGGAAAAAGTTCGGGAGAAACGACCTCGCAGTAGGATCCTCCTTCACCACGACAACGCCTCGTCGCACACCGCCAAGCAAACAATCGACTGCTTGGCGACGTCAGAAGTGGAATTACTGAGTCACCCGCCCTATAGCCCTGACCTAGCACCTTGCGATTTTTATTTATTTCCGAAAATAAAAGAAAAACATAAAGGACTTGCTAGTTTCTTCAGTTTTTGATTTTCTAAGAACTTTCAGTATCACCCTCGTAATCATAAAAGTGACAAAACTTACCGAAACTATACGGGAGGCATTAAGTTGGCTCTATGTACCCTTAACGTTAAGGTGTTACATTTAAGCTTTTTAAATTAAAAAAGAACCTTACTCTTCTTATAATCAAGTGGGATCGTAAGGACGATTTAGGGAAACGTCAAGAAGACCTTGAGACTTTGATCTTCTACAGATATACGGATACCAGAACAATGATCAAGACAGATCTAATATTCAATTACGTTCAACTTTAATACTCATCTCGCTGGCGGCAAGCCGAGTAAAAGGTTCGTAGCCGAACCTCTAGCACGGGGTTAGACACTGGGTTTCGGGTTTTTATCCTTGTGAAATTTATGTATTTTCTACTGTGTCGTGGGGGTACCAGGTTTTTAAGAGAGAATAAAAATGTAAAACACTCTTATTTGGATTTCCTTTAGGGATAAATGATTTCTGTCTCATATTAAGTCATGAGACAAATTCTAGAAATCAGTCACCGTGTCAGTAGGCAACACAGTAATAAGTCTGTTTGTGATTCGGGACGCGACACGACCGGTTTCCGCGTCATCACACACTATTGTTTTGCCACCATGCGCATGTCAACAGTTAAGTAAATTGTCATGCGGTACGGGGAAAGCGTGCAAAATGCACCACATTATTACTACGAATTTTATCGGTAAGAACTGCGGTACCTGCTATTTTCATTGTCATACACGTATCGAGTTTTTTTTAATCGAAGATCAGTTGTTCAGTTTTACACGTTTTACCTAAATTGCAATTATAAAGTAAATTATTATTTTTAGTAAATTACTATGTATTTTAAAACCTGCCAAGATATTACAACAAGACGTTTAAGAAGTAAATATGCAGACCTAATATATCAACCTCCCTGTCATAAAGATATGTATAAGAGAAATGCAAAGAGAATATAACCACTACGTTTAGAGAAATGTATATAACATGAGCATATTATTATATGACACATTACCTAAGAATTTAAAAGAAAAAGAAGGAGCCTCTTTCAAAAATAATTTAACGAAATAGCTTACAGCAAAATTGTTTCTATAGCCTAAAATAATATTTAGAATCGAAAAATTAGTTTAAAGATTTATGTGCTCCACTTAACGATAGTTTTTTGTTTTATGTACCTAAATATTTGCACGTCTGCGAGCAGACTAAACACATGTACATTATAGATATTTAACTGAAGACCCTGTCAACTGTGTTTTATGCAAATAAAGAATTTGTATTTGTAAAATCTTCCTTTCATTTCTTTAAAGTAGGAAAGAGACTGCCGCCGACTCCACTTGCACCGAAAAAATTTTATTTCTCTGATTTGCAGGTTTCCTTACGATGTTTTACTTCATCACCGAGCATGTATTAATCATAAAGTTCGGAAATAATGTAATTCATCCATCCTTTGAAAGTTAAAGTTGCAGCCTATATACGTCCCACTGCTGGGCACAGGCCTCCTCTCATTTTGGAGAGGGTTTTAAGGCAAGGAAATGTCCGCCGCGCTGTCCCAATGCGTGTTGGCCAACTTCACATGTCTTCGAAATACTTTTTTTTTCTTATTTCTCAGACATGCAGGTTTCCTCACGATGTTTTCTTTCGTCGCCAAACACGTGGTACATCAGCACTTAAAATTGCAATTAACAATTTCATTGGTGCCGGCGGGGATCGAACCCGGGTTGCTCGTTTACTGTGGAACTTACAGCGAGCGCTAACCATCTGAGCTACCACATCTCACTCCATCCTTTAATTCATCATTATAGATATCCTCATGGCGAGGATATTTGTTATAGTTAGTTTACAGTCTGAGCAAGGGGCTTGGCAACTAAAATTTTTCATTATTTTGGGTTGTAATCAAGAACATACTGCTGTCCATCTTCTGTAGCATTTCTCTCTGTCGCCTCTTACGTCACCCGAGGTAATACACACACTACCACATATCATCATATGTGGTAGTGTGTGTATTATCTTACGCTGCAACAACACGTCGTAAACGCAATTAAATAATGTATATACTTATGTACAAGCTAGAAGCATGACGACTATGAAATCGTTCCTATAACGGAAGAGTCACATATCCAAAAGTAGCGTACGGCAGAAAAGAGTTTTTTTTTCATAATGAAAATCATTTTTTGACTTTTGCCACTAGTTCGGAAGAACTAGAAGAAACAAGAAACAAGTCTTGGGAAGAACAAGCAAGAAACCCAGCGGGACTTTTTTGGAGAAATTTCGGTGATAGATTCCCTTATGACGCCACCATACGACATACCTATATATATATATATATATACATATATATATGTATGTATACCTATACATACCTATATAGGTATGTATAGGTATACATACATACATATATATGTATATACATAATGTACATATTTATAGTCTGTTTACAGGTTAATGGAGTTGATAGCGCGACAAGTCTGTCAAGTGAGACATACTTTTGTGTTCGGGTGATTGTGACAAACGATCACACAGCCCGCCTTACGGCAAGTGAACGCTGTGGCCCATAGACATCTACATCTACATCCTTGATGAAGAATCAAAATTTGTTGTTGTCACCCCTGAGCACTAAGATGGAATGTCTCGTATCCAGTAAAAATAGTATTTATATCTTTAACAGAATCTATATATTATCGTTGCTTAAAAAGTGCAGATGCGTTGTCACCATTATCTAAGGACTGATATGGAATGCCTCGTCATCATTAAAAAGGGTGGTTGTCATTACTAACCATACGAAACATAGTGGTGGCTATTAGGCGGCTATTTTACGCTGGTATCTAAGAGTATGGTTCATCACTGGTTCAGCCGACCTATTCGTACTGGAGCCATAATAGGGCTTCTGGTTCTATCATACAATAACACTCTTCTATTATTATAACGTAATCTTTTAAAAAGTTATGAATTTATACTATTTTTCTAATATTTAATTTTATATACAGAGATCTACAAATGGTTGTACACTGTACACATATTTTAGGCGGCGTCATTTATATTTCGGCAATTCGTCATAGTAAAAACTAAATAGTAAAAATAATTTTCCCCAGAAAATCATTTTTTTAACCAGTTACAAAAGCATACGTACTACATTATTAATCGAGTACTGACCACAGCTACCACATTTGTAATGGTTCCCACGACCTGAGATAACGATGTAGGCAAACAATAGGAAATATAAATTTAGATAAGGTCCCATTACACTGTGTAAATAAAACAGTAATATCTATCAATAATTGTTTTTTTTTAAATAAAATAAACGTCACAAATGCAGTTATGCTGTCAATTGTTACCACTAAAGACTTGGATGGAATGTCACATCATCATCATTACCACCATTCGCAAGTCCACTGCCAGTGATGGTGGAATGCCTCATTACAAGTAAAACTGGAAGACACTGTTTCTTTACACTCAGCACACGAAACAGCGGCATTATTCTCTTGTTTCCGGTGGTACTGCAGCTTTGTATAGTAACGAATAAATAAATATAATGATAAAAATAATGTTGGTTTATCAATAAAATTTACAGTGTACTGTTTGTATTAAAAAATGACAACAAAGTGGTGGAGACTAGCCGAGCGTCTGTTGATCCGATGGAATGGAGAGGGAGGAATCCTTATTCATGCATTCTCATACAATTTCCGCGCACATTCTCCGAAATATATCCTGAATAGAGCTATTGTCACCTTACTTCTAAAAAAAATATAACTTACTGTCATGGCGTGTGATGAGGTACAGCTATCGCCACCACCCATGTCGTGGTCACCATGGTCATGACGGTGCTGTAGACCAATGTTTGTTGTTTCTAAAACTGCAGGGTTCATTGTTGCTTCTGTAACAAAAGAAAATATTTTTTCTAAGTTACTTCCGTTTATCATCTTCGGCTACATAACCCCTTATCAACTGGTGAGATAGTAGTCAATAACTATTGGCTTATAAGAGATAAAAAAAGTATCTTGTAGAGCTCCTTTGACATATTTCTCTTATCCAATTGGCTCTCAACTACTAGTTATATTTGTCTTTGAGAAATTTATTTATAAAACGCCTCCACGATACAGGAGGAATTTGTAGAATGGAGATAACGTTTAAATAAAGCAAATATAATATTTATAGCATTTTATTTTGATACTGACCTAAGCGATAGGGCTTTTTTTTTGGTAGGTATTACACTCACTCACCTATTTCTGCCGCTTAGTGCACCCACTGTTCTATGAGGTCTGAAGGATTAAAAACAAATCTGTGGACTTCTATATTTAAAGTTTTTTTTTTATTTTAAATTTATAGGATAGGGTGACAAACAAGCACACAGTGCACCTGATGGTAAGTGGTTGCTGTGGCCCATAGACATCTGCATCTATCCTCGATTACGAATCAAAATGCAGATGCGTTGTTACTCCTGAGGACTAAGATGCAATGCCTCTTTTCCACTAAAAAGTGTCTCCGATTCTCTTCAGTCACCATACGAAACACAGTAGTGTTAAGCTGCTATTTTACGCTAGTATTCTGTGAGAGCGTGGTCCTTCCCCGGTCGAGCCGACCCAATCGTGCTACAACTATACTACTAATATAGCTGCAGCATGGCTCTACCACGTACAGTTTATTGCAGGTGTCCACGATTACAGAACCTATTTACTATCAAGTACATTATATGCTTGTTTGTGGCCTGTAAATATAGTATTATAAAATATGTCAATTGTGAAAAAGGAGAACTCTGGTACTTGCAAATTTGCAAATACCAGAATAGTAGTTTGCCTTGATCCCTATCAAGGCAAACTACTATTATATGCAATAGTGTCCTGTTATCTACAAAATGTTAAATATACGAACGAGAGATCTTAATTTTCTTAATTAACTGTATAAGAAAGTCTATAATGTACATTTTAGTACACAAATCGTTAACTAGACGTGGTTATGCAAAAAGGATCCAACCCTACAAAGAAAGCTTTTTTTTTTATTCATAGAAAGAGTGTTACATAATTTACATTTCAAACTTTGCCAAACTGTATGCCAGTTTGTCGGCTAATTTGAGGTTATGAAAGTTGAAGAATGGATCTGTATGGTTTGTGTATGTGTTTGTAATTTTAGTTATTATTTGTATTACTTTCGCTAAAATTGTTGCATCACAATAGTATAGACCACAAACATTATTTTACAACTGAACATTTTTGACACAAATTACATTGGACCCTTTTTGCGTAACTATGTCCAACTGTAAATACACACAGTAGAACAAATACCGGTATTTACTTGTACAATAGAAAAGTAAAGTTTAGTTAGTTTTAAGTCGAACATACGAAATCACATTATCCATAGCACAACTATCTACATTTACGATTTTAGAACCAGAGCTAGTAGGAATAAAGATTAAAATGTTGAATGTAGGTGAGCTAACTTTATTGTGCAATACCGGCTTTCACTGTGCAGGCGCAGGGTGACCTCGCGTCTTATGCAACAATTCATCTGCAGTGCAATTACACCACAGTGGTGCTTCCGGATCGCCAGTTCAGTCACAGATGACTTTAATCGGGTTTTCGGTTTTTATCAGCAATAAAGTAAGACATTGCAAATAGGTTTCGTTCACAGCAAAGTTATTATTATGAAAGTATGGACAGATACTCAGTCTCACGTAGTCTATCTGATGGTAAGTGGGTACTGTCTACTGTGGCATATGAATTCCTAGATATATCTGCGATTAAAAAAAATAAAAATGCAGATGCGTTATCACCTGCGTTATCACTCATATGAAATACCTAGTTAACAGCAAAAAGAGAATCCAGTTTTAAATGGACTTCAAAAAAGGAGGTCTCAATTCGACTGTATTTTTTATGTGTTTTACCTCAGCACTGTTTTCTCGGTGAACCGATTTCAATGATTCTTTTTTATTTGAAAACGGGCGTTTTTCCCATATAAATTAGATCAAGATGTGACCAGTAGTTTTTGAGTTATCCTTAATAATGCGTATTATAGACTTCGTCTACATTGGTGATGTTGTCATTTTCTTTATATTAAAGTCGTTTTTACAAACATTTTAATTTCACTACATGTCGTCTCTGACCTTACTAAACACTGTAACATTATGCTGCTATTTCACGATAATATTTGGAGCCAGCGTGTTCCTTTTTCAAAGGAGCCTTTTTCGTTTGGAGCTTGACGAGAATTGGAGATCCTTTTACTGGTAACACAGCATTGCATTTTAGTCGTCAAGGGTGACAATACATTTTGATTCTTAATTGAGGATAGGTGTAGATATTAATGGACCACATCCATACCCTTATTGCTTGTCACCTGCCACCTTACTTCTATAAAAAGCCGGTCCATTAACAACTCAAAATGAAAGCTGTAGCATCAAACGTGGCAACTATAGCAAATATCTCTATGTTCAGTAGTTGATAGGCTGTAATAAATCTATACAAATAAATAAAATTGAAGTGTCTATTTGTAATGTCAAAATAACAGCTTTTTACTAAATGCATATGAAAGTATATACGGTACTTATAACAAAAACACAATTTTTAACAATTTTGTCTGTCTGTCTGTCTCTGTCTATCTGTCAGTTTGTTCCGGCTAATCTCCGAAACGTCTGGATCGATTTCGACCCGACTTCCACTGGCAGATAGCTGATGTTATAAGAAGCAACTTAGGCTACTTTTATTTTAGAAAAAGAATTAGGGTTCCGTGCAAAAAATTAAAACCCATAAAATCCAATCGCAATAAATTACGCGCGGGCGAAGTCGCAAGGAACAGTTAGTTAATAAATATATCAGAGAATGAATTAGTGCTAGCTAGTGATACACGTTTCTCGACTTCATAGAGTCAGTAAAGTCCCAGAATATATATAATGTCTCTGCTGCCAAGTTCTAATATTGTATTTATAAAAAAAAAGTTATAAAAAGGGTTATTATAATATAAATGAATACATGATTGATAATAACCCCTGGGAATGAGATGGTCACTTCCACTCTGTTTCTTAAAAAAGTTTTGTAAACGGTTTGTACAATTATACTATAGGTAATTTACTTTGAAAAATCTCCCGCTGGGTTTTTTTGCTGGTTCTTCCCGAGGCAGAGGGTTTTTCCTAACCAGTGGTAAAACTAACAATCGACTTTCAATAAGAACTACTTTAAACGTGGTAAAGTCATGCTGCAGCTATATTAATAGTATAGTTGTAGCACGAATGGGTCGGCTCGACCGGGGAAGGACCACGCTCTCACAGAGTACCAGCGTAAAATAGCAGCGTAATGCTGCTGTGTTTCGTATGGTGAGTGTAGAGAACCGGAGACCTTTTTTACTGGAAAAGAGGCATTCTATCTTAGTCTTCACGGCTGGCAACGCACCTGCATTTAAATTCGCAAACGAAGATAGATATAGATGTCTATGGGCCACAGCAACCACTTACCATCAGGTAGAGATAGAGTGTGTGTTTGTTTGTCACCCTTATACTATTTTAAAAAAAAGAATTACATGCATGTAATCTATATTGAATTAAAAAATATTCTATTATATTATATTCCAATGGATGAATGAACTTAGTATGAATTAGTGGACTTCAATTGTTGATTTTGCTTTTGTTTCAGAAGTATCATGGACTACATGATAGGATAAATAGTAATAACATCAATCTCTCAGAAGACGGTCAAGCATAATATTATGGTATTTGCTTGCTTGCTTGCTTGCATTGCTTTATGACGCAAGTCTCCATTTGTTAATTATACGTTAAACTTCATTCGGGTTTATGTTTTTTTTTTGGTTGTTTTATCACGTCTTTGTTTCCTAAAAACTTTAAACTGAAAAATTAAAATCATAAATTAAAAATATTTTTTATTTCTCAAATATGAATGATTTCACGGCGATATTCAATTTAGTTAAAAATATAATAAAAATAGCGTTCCACCGAAGTGGAATCAGTTGGTCCAATTTAAACGTAACGCGAAGCACTTTCCATTTTCTTATCAGCAATATACCATACCACAACGATAGGGAAACCAATTGTACTTAGGTTTACGCAATCATTTGGTTTCGTAGTTATATCTTGTACCTACGTTGTAAATTTAATGTTGTCCGTGACGACTAAAATGAGCCGAAGTTGCAATTTTCAACTAACGTCAAGCAACTAGCCGTAGCCGACTTTTGCTTAGTCGTTGACCCCGTGTCCTTAACACTTATTTATTTATTTATTATGGCAACCCTCCCTCAAAAATGTAATCTCGAGTGGCAACCTCGTAGTGGTAAGCACAGTGTCCAGCGACTCCCCAAATAAATGAAATGAACACATTTAACAACATAACAGTTATAAAATGTATAAAGTTTGTTTTTGTTTTTTTTTTTCATGGCGGCACTGAGTTCCATTATAAACAAGTGTTTGGCCTATAAATTATTCTTCCGGGTCTAGATGTTTGTCTATATGCAATTTATATTTGTAAAATGCTTCAACAAAATAGGACAAAACACTAGTAAGGGGATACCGTTTAATAAAGAGAAAGAAAAAGCTGCGAGGTTTCTTTTCTGCCCTGGGACCTGTCTGGGTTAGTATCACTGTATCCACTACTAGCACAGTACTCACACACTGCATCTGAATAGAACAGAAAAGAATAGAATATTTTTTATTCAATATACATTACATGTGTAATTCTTATTTAAAAGTCATTTTTTACTTTACCACTGGTTCGAAAAAAACACTCTTTCCTGGGAAGAACCAGCAAGAAACCCAGCGGGACTTTCTTTAATAAATTTTACAATATAAATGATTACAAACTATTTACAAAATTTATTTTAGAAACTGCTTGGAAGCGACCACCTCATTCCCAGGGGTTATTATCAACCATGT